GAAAAAATAAAATTATAAAAAGTTTGACTTCCGTAAGACAAAAATTAACCGACATATTTAATTTGAAAATTTGCAGATTTTGCTGTCATTTTCAGTTTGTCTTAAGAGATCGGTTAAGTAAGAATAATTCGAGGAAATAAGTTTAAACGAAGTGCAGCAAAAATATGCATAATTTAATAGGCCGACTAAGGAAGTCATGCTGTGTCCATGTCAGATTTTTTACTCTTAGATCGCTGTTAATTTTAATGTAACCTCATTGCAAGTATACACTACTAAATTCTAGAAAGAAAATAGCTAAGAGCAATACATAAATTAATCTGCAATCTAAAGTGTATAAAAAACTGCTATATGAGGTCAACTATAAAATTTTTAACTTCAGTTATATAAAATTAAAACAAGGCAGAAAATTCAATGTTGATTCATAATAAATGTTTTACTTATAGTTTCATAAAACGTCAAAAAATCATGTGTGATTCAGTTAAGTCGGTTTTCATTCTAATAATCAATTTTAAACCTTGCTTATACGAAAGCTGTTGGATGTTTATTAATACAGGAAAGAAAATGAAGAACTCCTTAGGCATATCAAAATTTAAATTTAAAGAATATGAAAGTTTCGAACAGTTAATGGAATTATTAATTAAATTCTCTTAGGAATTATTTATTTTGCTTGCTTCTTTTCTATTTAAGGAAACTTCATGACTCAATGATTTTTTCAAATTAAATATGTCGGTCAATTTTAGGTAATTTGCGTTATTGACTTTTAATTAATACTTTCTTAATTTAATTTGGCATCGAAGGCGTTGAGTGTACACAGGTAATTATTTTGCAGCATTTCGATTCGTGTATTAATTTTATGAAACTTAATCTCTCCATTTAATTAAAAGAACCCAAACGAATATTTTGCAATTAGTCATGTAGATAATTTATTCAATAACCATGAAAGCTGAATTTTCTCTGTTTAATAAATCTTTTCTCTACAAACGGAGAAAAGGAATAAATTAATGTAATTAAAATTTCGTAAATGCGTTGATTTATATTTCTTTAGTTTTTAGCAATTAAATATTTGATACGAAAAATAAACCTCACTTTACATTTGCTGCTTTTGTCCCTGTGCTTGTGATTTTACCTAAAATATAGAGAAACGTAAACTGAAGAGAGTTTTAAATATATACATTTAAAATTTCTGAGCATTCTCAACTTTTGAAAAAAAAAAAAAAAAAAAAAAAAAAAACATTGTAGGTAATAAAAACTATGATGTTATTTACCTCAATTCTTTTAAAATTTCGATTTCTTTTGCAGTGGATACAAAATGGGATGCAATTTAATTTAATTCTCTGAAGATTTCGATTTCTTTTACAGTGAATGCAAAACCTGATGTAATTTAGTTCAGCTCTTTTAAGATTTCAACTTCTTTTGCAGCGAATAAAAAAAATGATGTCTTCAGTTCTTTTAAGATATCAGCTTCATTTCTTTAAAGTGCTTTCTCTCAGTCCCCTTTTTTATCTTTGTATTTTGCTTATGCTTCAAGGTTTTGTTAGTAACTAGAAATTATTTTAATTTCTGTTTTACCCTTTCTTGCTTATTTCTCTAGCTTATTCATAACTGCGCAAATGAATTATTAAATATAATAAATGACTCATTATTAAACGACTCAAATAAGATTTATTTAACTAAATTGTTTATAGCACAGATCATTGATATCCAAGCTAAACTCTTTGGAACTGTTTAGAAATCTTTTATCTTTCTAATAAAAACTTAGATTTAGATTTAAATAAATTTAGAATTTATTTTATAATGCTTGCATAATTAATTACCTTTTTGTGTCTTTAACTCATATTTACAAATATACATATTGCTCTACAGGAATGAAAGATTCTGTATATTTTTATAATGGAGTTTGAAATAAGTCTTTACAGGATTCACCTATAAAGTTTACGTTTCGTTAAAGCCAGGTTATGAAACATTTTCTAATAGTTCCCAGATTGCTATGAACGAAAGAGTTCTACTAATGCCGGTAAAACCTCCATGAACTCATATGGTAACTGAGATATATTTCGACTGTACTGACATCACTAATACGAGAATAATAATAATAATGACATCACTCGTACCTGTAAGAATTCCGTAGATGTTAATAAAAATCAGTGTAAACAAGCAGAAAGTTCTGTTGATATTGATGTTGGCTGTGTGAATATTTGTAGATACCAATAAAAATTAACAGTAGAGATCATTAGAAACTACTAAAGATCAATAAAAACTAAAAGAATTCTAATTTTGCCAAAAAAAAAGAGTGTTACTGTCTTCCATGGGGGCTCTTTTAGCTGGAAACGAGGACCAAATCTATCATTTGCTTAGTACGAATACATAAATAATTCAATTAGCTTTTATAAAAGGGGGAGATGCATACATATTCCCATAGTTCTAATTTTTACTTAAGTCATTAAATCATTACATCAGCAATTTAGTGATCAGACAAAATATTTTTAAGACAATCCTGCGACAGTCTTAATGTCCTTACTGAAATGTTCTCTACATTGACGAAACCAGGTTTGTAGTTTTTTCATCTTTCTGTATTTGTACGATTTCTCTTTGTATGGTGGTTTGTATGTTTTCTCACTTTACGGTTTATATTTTTTACGGTAACAAGGAGATATTTTGCTGTTTGATTAAGGCAAGCCCATGCTTCATCGAGGATCAAAACGTATTTCCATTTATCTGCTGTTAAATAGTTTTCATACAGGGTTCTACATATTGTTTTGTATTGAGCCACATTCTTAAGCAAAAGCCGGTGAAAGTTATGTTTTCAGCTTATTTAAAATGCGAATTCTCGGTTTATTATTTTATTTATTGCTGCTGCTGATGTATTTAAAACTTTTCAAACGGTTATTGCGTCAGCGGAGTTTCTGTTGTTACCACTGAAGTTTATGTTTTCAGCTTATTTAAAATGCGAATTCTCGTTTATTATTTTATTATTGCTGCTTGCTGATGTATTTAAAAACTTTTCAAACGGTTATTGCGTCAGCGGAGTTTCTGTTGTTACCACTGAAAGTTATGTTTTCAGCTTATTTAAAATGCGAATTCTCGGTTTATTATTTTATTTATTGCTGCTGCTGATGTATTTAAAAACTTTTCAAACGGTTATTGCGTCAGCGGAGTTTCTGTTGTTACCACTGAAAGTTATGTTTTCAGCTTATTTAAAATGCGAATTCTCGGTTTATTATTTTATTTATTGCTGCTGCTGATGTATTTAAAAACTTTTCAAACGGTTATTGCGTCAGCGGAGTTTCTGTTGTTACCACTGAAAGTTATGTTTTCAGCTTATTTAAAATGCGAATTCTCGGTTTATTATTTTATTTATTGCTGCTGCTGATGTATTTAAAAACTTTTCAAACGGTTATTGCGTCAGCGGAGTTTCTGTTGTTACCACTGAAAGTTATTTTTTCAGCTTATTTAAAATGCGAATTCTCGGTTTATTATTTTATTTATTGCTGCTGCTGATGTATTTAAAAACTTTTCAAACGGTTATTGCGTCAGCGGAGTTTCTGTTGTTACCACTGAAAGTTATGTTTTCAGCTTATTTAAAATGCGAATTCTCGGTTTATTATTTTATTTATTGCTGCTGATGATGTATTTAAAAACTTTTCAAACGGTTATTGCGTCAGCGGAGTTTCTGTTGTTACCACTGATGTACGCAGATGTACCTTTTTCGGGTATTTGTTTGGAGTAGTCTTCTCGTGTAGACGTTTTTAATGATGGGACAGTTTATCTCTTCTCGATTAATAATGCGGCTTAATTTGCACTTATAAATTTTAATACTACGTATTTTACAATATTTTGGAATTATGGAATAGGAATTTTTCTCTTCGGAAAGCGCAAAAACTTATTTTGCAATCCATAGCTGGTTTACTCCTGACGTTTAGAAAGAAGATTAAATTTGAAAGTAGTTGACGTTATTTTTCATTTCAAACATGAGCTGTTGCCAGAAATTTATATTCTAACATTTTGTTTTAAATTTCTTTATCGAAATCGTTCTAAACATTTATTAACATCTTCTGTATTAGTTACAACTCTCTTGCTCCCTATTACATTAAGTTCTTCAGGGGAAATTTCGCGTGTAGTTAAATGGGCATTATGGTAGAAAGCTATATGTTTAACAAGTACTGTAGAGGGAGAAGTATGGTCGACACACCGTGAGCCTGGCTTTTATATGAGGAATAATGGCCTTTATTTTAAGTTCATCGTAGCAGCTTTGAACTATTCGAGACTTGTCTGAATCAGTTATCACATGCATAGTTACATAACGTTTACAGAATACACACGATTTATAGCAAAAATTGCAAAATATTGCTATTTTTGCAATAAATTTTGTTTTTTGAGCTTTCTACTTAAGCAATAAATAATTTGAAGTTAAAGGTTCTCAACATTTTTCGTATTCCTCATGCTGCGTTAGGATCTATAGCATTTCCATAGCAGTGAGTTTATTACCACGACAAAATTACGAAAAGCATCGAAATTTCATTATCTTTCAGAGCTCTAAGTTAAGTGCGCGAATGGAAGATATAATCTAGTTTATAATATGTTTTCATTTTGCTCAGTTAGGCAATAGGCGAATTTTCTGGCATATAGCGACAGAAAAGTAGCTGTACACCAGGAAAAGCATTTTATCGGCCTGCCCTACCGTATACGCACTTAATAACTAAATTACATATCTAAATTATAGTCATACCTATCTTATACAAATTTAGATATTTTATAAATTGTCATTTTGAAATCTGCTATGTCTCGGAAGTGATCAGGAGGAAACCATTGAGAATTGCTGAATTAAATAATAACATATTGCAAAAGAAATATTCATGAGCAAAAATTGATGATTCCAATTGATGCTTTAAAATAATTCGATTGGAATTATATTTTATTAGTATAATGTATATTAATATGCCATACTGTAATTTATTTATGTAATTCATGGATTATATGCTTTGTTTTTATTCCTATTTTAGCAACCATGTACCTGATTGTGTGCCTGGTTTCATTCTTGTTGATATTCAACTCATCACCTTTGGCAGAAAGGAATTCTACCGATCCATCAGAATTTGAAGAGGAATTTACCACTACGGAAAATTCAACAAAAGAAGATATATCCAGAAGAAACATAACTTTGAAATCAGATCAAGAAATTTTGTCCATTAACTTGACTACTGATGAGGCAGCTTCATGGTCTTTTCATCAAGAAATCAAAGATGAGTATACCGAAACTTCAACTAAGGAATTAATGACCGATAATGGGTATAACACAGAAACTCAGACAAAAGCTTCTTCAAGCGAAACAACTACATCTAATGTAACATCTTTTCCATCAATTAATGTAGCGGTTTCTACAGAGAAAGCAGGTATATATGAAAATTCTGACAAAAATTTTGGCAAGGTAATATGGCGCACAAACAACACATTTCAGAAGGTTCATGAAACGCCATTACTGTCATTTGCCGAAAATGTGACATCATTCGAAGAAACAGTTGAACACAATGCCATCAGAACTACCGACTTTGACAGTGTCACTGAAAGAGGTGCGAGCATAATCGTAGGACACAAATGCATGAAGCGATTTCAAGATTCAATTCTCTGGAATGATACAGACGGTGGCATGCTTGCCTTGAAGAATTGTCCAACAGGATATCAAGGGAACATGTACAGACCTTGTTTCAGCAGTGGCATGTGGGGGAATGTTGACTACAGCGAGTGTAGACTGGAACATCTGGGACGAATGAGACATATGGTAATGTATATTTTTATTTATTTCTGGTTTTCATGATAAGATACTGAAGAAATGAGCGCTCTTTTTTTAATAAATGTCAAAAACTTTGGACCAAACTAATAAATGTTCTTATTGAAATTCTGGATATTATTTTATGCAGTATTTACAGGAGATTTATGGTATAACTGGCCGCGTTCTATCCAGAGTGGAGTTATAGAACTATAAAGTTCACTTAAATAGATTAAAAACAGCAATGCACTTCCACCCTTTTATTAGCTGGCATTACAATAGGAAATACTGATCATTCGAAAGCGCGCCTTATTAGATAATCTTTGTTAATTTTTAGATAAGAGACTGGGAAACAGGACAGAACAGGAATAAGTATACTGGACACCAGGACTTTACTATATGGTGATACAGTACTGTCCCATAATGTTACTGATCCAGTGAATCATCCTACAGAAGTTCGGCTGATTTTCCAAAATTTTTTCTTGTAGGTATTATGTAGAAATAATTTCGATACGAATGAAAAAAAAAAAAAACTTTTCGATTATTAGCCCAAAAGGCGTTAGCCCAGAAGCGCTATTAATTTCGTTTTGGCATTTTGCGTTGATTCACTATAAATGTCGGTTCACTTTTCAAATTGTTAACACCAAATATTACCCCAAATATCATTATATTTAAAGAAATTAAATAATGAAGAATCTGTATTAATGTATCTATGTTTCTTGCATCATGATAAAAGAACGGTACCTAGAGCCATCAAATTTTGAATAACGTAATCTTCCACGGAATATGCGGGCATCTGGAAGCGAGAATTTGGAATTTGAAATTTGTTTTATTATTGATTTCATATTTTGTAACACTTTACTTTTAATTCTTGCTTAAGAAACTCAACGATTTTAAAGCGAGCAATGGCAACACTGTACAAAAAAAAAAAAAAAAAAAAAAGTTTTATCTCCAGCGCTAGTCTATATATCGGAAATTATAAAGATATGCTCATTTAAAAATTATTTTGCGATATTGCTGTTGAACTGAATTTTTTAAGTACATGATATTTAATAAATAAAGGTAACACACAAAACGTTAAAAAACGTCCCTTTGGGCGTAATATAAAATCTGAAAAATTTCGGATATTTTTTGTTTCTTCTTTTTCTTATTATTTTATTACTATTCTTTTTATGCTTGTTGTAAAATGCTCGTTTAAACATTGTTATTAAATCCAGTTTCGGAAACTAAATATTCGAAGCGATTTCTGTGTTCTCAGAACAGCGTCGAGTTATTTTTAATTTAATTTTTTATTTCATTTCATTTTTCGTTATTACAACCACGTATTTCTGCTATCAGCTCGCAACTGGATTAAGTTTTGAACTGTTTTTATGATATATCTTCGAAACTCGAATTTGCTTGTAATTGGTCTGATGAATTCTAATGAAGCTGTTGTTAATGGGCATGAGAAGAGGAAGTATTCTGGAGATCCTCTTTCGAAGCAAAGTTTTCTGAGGAAGAAATATTCCTTTCTTAGTGATAAGTGGGAAAGGGTCCATGTCCATATAGGAATCGGAGATTAGGGAATAGAAAAAAACTTCTTATTCTAGCTAGGGTGACGTACGTCCTTCAACATCCTTGAATGTGGCAAGTAGGCGGTTCAAGTTGGTTTGGCGCTAACTTCTAAATATGTGTTGACAGCTGGCGAAAGAAACATTTCTAAGACCAGTTTCAGAGAGGTTGGTGAAGTGGTTAACGATTGAGTATAAAATTCATTGTTGTTAGGCGATAATTACACAGAATTGTACAAGCAGAGTGTCAGTAAGTAAGACCACAAAAACATTTCTCTTTAGACTGATCATAAAAATTTGTCTCAGTGTGAGGTAAGTAATGTTTTTATTTCATCTACTTTCGTTCCTCTAAAACGCTAAAAATATTGTAGATTACAGATAGCTTATGTTAGAGAATTTGATGTTTTAAAGTAATTTTTATATTTTCTTTTGTAAAAATTACGAAGTAAATCTTAAACACTTATTTCCTCGAAAAATTCCAGAAAGGATTAAGTATGATTTAATTCGCAATAATAAATGAAGACGTTATCTTTGTTGTTGCGAAGCTAAGTTTCTCTAGATTGGCAGCAAATCCACTAGTCTGCTGTTTCAAATGTAAACACGCAATGGCCGCCATAAAAAAATTATTAGGTTTAGCGGCACTTAAACAGCTTTAAAATTGTTGATAATTCTAAAACTATTTCACACAGATTTACTAAAGGCATAGAAACCTTAACCGGAAGATAAAAACAACATAATTTAATCATTTTTAAAGCAAAATATGTACAATTTACAAACATATAAGGGTAAAGAAACTGAGATCACTGGGTCGGGTAACAGACGGGATATATATATAAATATATTTATATACGTTTGGTGCGGCCGATTGCAACCAAATATGAGGTGCACATCTACATGTTATAGCAGTCTTATATACAAAATTTCAACGTTCTGAGGCTACTCGTTTTTGAGTTATGCGAGATACGTACGTACGTTCGTACGTACAGACCCCACGAAAAATTCTTTTCAGAATTCATTTTAAAGCAGTTTTATAATTTTTTTGGAGGAAAAGAGTATTTTATTCTGTCCTTAAGCATAGATATCACGCAAAAACATCGTTAAATTGCATTCGAAAGCGGTCAAAATGGATATTTTCGTTGAAATATGCTGCCTGAAACTTTTCGCGATTAAAATACTTCCTTTTTACTTTGTACAAGGAAGTAAAGTAGAGCTAAAACTATTTGCTATTTCTAGACTATCAAAAATATGGGAAGCTAGTTCTAACGCAGAAGAAACCAACCACCAAAACCAGATCGACGAAGAGTTGGGTAGCTCATGAAAAAACTGCTTTTGGGCGCGTTGCCAAATATGAATTTTTAAATAACATATTCGCCTGCTATTTAAATTTCACCTAATTTGCACTGATGAAGGCTGACAGCAGAAATAGATGTTATAGTGACAAATTAAGAAAAAAGTAACATATTATCTAAATAAACTTCTGAAAATAACATATTATATGAAATAAACTTCTAAAATCTAAAGACATTGTCCTTTTTTATTGATACTATAGTTTTACCTAATAAATTGTACTATTATTTATTATTATTAGTTTTGGAAAAATGAAAAGCTGGAACTAATGGAAATTAAAAATTCATAATGTATACAAAAGCATATATCCCTATATAATTACTAATCGAATTTAGTATACTGTAATTCATTCAGAATCTTCTCAATTTCTCGATAAAACAGGAATAGACTAAATAAGAACATTTTATAATTTAATTTAATATTTTAAAATGAATCTAAATAGTCTAAAACATATAAACACATTTGAATGAATAGTGTTTACTGTCAGATGCATATTTATGCAGATGGGTTATTTAACAAATGCATTATCAGATGCATTATTTAATTTAACAATTATATGCAAATATAAATGAAAACGGTAACTATTTTCATTCAATTCATGCTAATTCCTTCCCTTTAATTAGGCTATTCAAGGCAATTTCCGTGATAAATGTTATTTAGTAATCATCTAAATAAAATTTATCACGGAAGTATATAATCATGTATTATTATTAATACTGTATATATTAATTTTGAAAAATATTTTCCAGTAGATTTTCTTAAGAATCAGGAAAACAAAAGGGTATTTAATACGGAACCTGAAATATATTTTATTATTTTAACATAGATTTTCCATCAAGTTCAAAAGGGTATGATTGGGAATATGTACGTATTAGCTGATGAATTTTCCAAGTACATTTCTTCGGTAGATATGAAGAGCCCCATGGACAGGTTGGAAGCTTTCGAAATACTTAATACGTTTCTCAAGCTCGATATGAACTTGAAAATGGACAAATCAAGGGATACAAAGTATATCCAGGTAATGTTTCAATAAGCATTATTTGGTGTTTAAATCTGATGCACTTTTCATTTTATGTATCAATAAAGTTCAAACATATTTTAATTTCTTGTCTTTATGAAACCTCATATTATCAGAATATTAAATTATATGTTTATTTAAATTGTTTCTAGGATTGTATTTTAATTAACAGCACAGTTAATTTATATGTATGTTGAACATAGGTCACATTCAGTTACTCAGTGAACAATAGGTCACTCAGTAACTGAATTTCTCTTGGCTTAAATAATTGTTTCTGTTTCACAGACTCTTCTGCATGCAGCAAATGAGCTTATAAAGAGAAAAACGGTACTTTTTTCAAGTGGATCACAAAAGAACGTAAGTTAAACATTTTATCTTCTATTTATAAGTTTAAAAATTACTAAAATACCTTTAATTTCCATTTATTGACAAGCTTTCAGATACTAATTTCATCTTTAGCTTTGGGACGATATTTCTTAGAAGTAATAAATTTTACGATATTTACAATATGCAAAAGAGATTATACATAAAGTTACTGAAAAACAAGAGTTACTCACCCACCTCACTCCCCTAAAAAATCCATGATGTTTAAAACGATTTTCTTATTAACAAATGCGTTAATTTTCTTTCTTTGACTTCTTTATTCATAAAATTAGATGAATTTCCTCAACAATTTGGTGATATTTTTCAAACTACTTCTAGCCATTATTTGCATGTCTTATTCGCACTTTCATTAAAATATAAATAGCTGTAAAAGGAAATGAAAACACCAATTTCCTTCTTAATGTGATAACAACAACAAAAAAGGGATGGGAAGTTTAGTTAAAATTAAAAACTCTGAAAGAAGGAAAAGAAAATCAGTGTCAAAGAAATTGAAATTTTCCAATATGAGCATTGCGATGACATGCTGTTTTAAGCCTATAGTTTCGTGTATTTTACAAAAATTTCATCTAAACTATAATTATAAATTTTGAGAAACAACAAATAATGCAGAAATTCATTCATGAAATTCGTAAGCAGAATGGTGAATGCTTGGCATGTCAAAAGATGTAGCCTCTGAGTGAGAATAAAATATTTGCTTAGTGAAACGAACATGACATTATTTGACCATGTTATGGTCTAGTCCATATGAAATGGGACACAGTTTTGTCCAAACACGTCATGGATTTCCTCTGGGTGCATCTGAGTATCAGGTATTTTGCGGTTGGTGGTGTGCAAGAAAATGGAGCTTGTTGACCGGCAGGTGAACATTACGTTCTATGTGTTTTTGTACAAATGTCCAACGGAGGCCTACAAAAGTACTTCTAACGATAAAATTTTATCCTTCTTGAGGAAATAATATTGAAAGTTTTCGAAAGACACGACTTTCTAAAATAACAGAAAGAAGCTGAAGAAGATGAACCCAGGCGCCAAGGCTAACCAATGATACGATAAGAAGAAAGTGTTTAGTATATTGATTCGAGATCAGATAGAAGATACAATATCCAAACATTACAGTTATTGCATCCTTATTCAAGACTATGTATCATCTAGATCAGTGTTTCTCAACTGGATTTTCTCCGAGGACCGGTAAAATATTTCGATACGTTTTCGCTGACCGGTAAGTTTAATAATTAACGTATTTGAGTATTTATTTATGTGAAAACGTTGTACCCATTGGGACAACGTTTTTACATGAATAAATACTCAACTAGTAAACAATTGTTATTGGGATTTAGATACTGTTGTAATAACGATTGTCCGCCGATGACACTTTGGATTTTGGACAGATAGCTGGATATTTCGCGAACCGGCAAATATTTCTTGCGGACCAGTGCCGGTCCGCGGACTGGCGCTTGAGAAACACCGATCTAGATCACACGTCTATGGCAGCTCTTGCCCGTCCAAACACAACAGTCTTCTGATCTTGTATCATGCGAACTGTACCTGTCCTCTAAGATGTCACGTTAAATTAAGGGTCATAACAGAAGCGCGGAAGACTTTAAAAATGTAATACTGATTGAATAAAAGGCCATCTCAAGGAATGTACTGCAGATGTTCTTCACATATTTCGACAAGTATCATTGTTGAGACGAGATCTTATTTTGAATATGTATTTAGTGATTTAACTCTTGGAGAAAATGTAACACTGAGTCTTCAGTTTTCCTTTCGAACAATAATTTGGAAGAGTTAATCCTACCCTACCAAATGCAATTCCTTGGACGGCATCATTGGATCAAGGCTCCGGTTGGCAATCGATGGTAAGATCTTCTCTTCTTGATGACTTATCACTCTGACTTACTTAACTCCTAAAATACCAAAGCTAGTGGCTCACTTCAAATACGTAAAGAATGAAACAATTTCTCTTTTATCTTTAATCGGATATGTCATGAAGAGTCTGCCTTATTGCAAAATATTCAGTTGCTGAGATCACAACATATATGTCTGCCAGTTTTTAAAGTATAACTTAGGCTTACAAAAGTTTTTCATAAGTGAACAGATTATGCGGAGCATAATTAATAAAAATTAGAATTTCATAACAATTATTGACTTCTTTCGCAATAATAGCCTATAGTCTTTATTTTGAAAACAAATGATGTGCTGCCAACAGCCATTTTATTTAACTTGAAATTTTCAAAATAAGTTGATTCTTTTAAAGTCTACATATCTATTTCAGAAGCTTATTACAGAGAAAGCAGTGGAAATGATATTCGATCTTACTTACTTTGCTGAACGAGCATTAAGAGGATTATTAAAAACACAGAAGAAACAAATTGTCTTTAGAGCGGCACCTAATGTCGGTAAGTACCAAAATAGTTATAATATTAATTTAGCTGTGAAAAGCGCATGCTGTATGCCATAAAATGTACCTGAAGCCATTAATAAATTGTTTTCAGTTTGTATCACATATGGATACTAGCAGATGATTACATTCATATTGTAGAGTTCCTCATCTTGTAATTCTAAGTTAATGTTGGAAGTGAAGAATCTAAGAACTGATAAGCGAATAATCGCTTAAGTTCGGTTACAAGAAACAACAAGTTAGAAGGGTAACTAACCCTTTATTATTTCAATAAGATTTAACAAAACTCCGCCTGGGAGTGTACAAACAAAGCCCGCCCTTGGGCTTGAACTTAAAAAGACTAAGAATTAAACTAAAACTAAGGTTAACTAAAGAAATATAGCCGAAGCTAACAATATTCAAATCGAGTTGGCCCCTTAACTTATTTGACTACGAAGCTTAGCAAGGGCCTGAGTACGGCCGAGCGTAATAACAGCTTTGAGAGAGAGAGAGAGGCAAAAAAGGCAGACGCGCGTAATCAGAAACTCTGATTCTCTCCGACTCAGTAAGTAACTTCGTGGTTTAAATACCGCTCCTCCTCATTAAATATTCAGCAAGATTCCAAAACTACGTTCTGGCCGGAAGTAGTAAGTTGAAGTTAAGAATTTGAAAAAAAAAAGGAAATTTAACTTAAAATTTAACTGTTAATAAAATTAACATAATCCTTACAATATAATACTTTTACCTCTAACATAAATGTAAAATTTAAAATAGAGCAAATCATTTCGATATAACGAATATCATATTAAACGGTTCATGGATAATAAAATGTAAGAGCACTTAGTGTACGTTCTAATGTTTAATGATTTCTAGGTAATCTTTACACTAGAAACTCAACTAATTCTGACAGTAGAAGTAAAACAGACGAACAAATCTAACTTAATGGTACATAATATTTTATTAGCATTTGCGGTTTCTGGAATAACTTATTATTTTTTAATAACTTAAATTTTATAATTTATAACTTTTAGATTATGAATCTAGATGCAATACGTAAAGAAACAAAGCGTACATCCATTTTTTTCTGATAGACTATAGGCATTGAGGCCCGGGGTTCGATCGCCGGTCTGGGCAAAGTTTACTCAGCCTTTCATACCTTGAATGGGTCGATAAAATGAGTACCAAGTTCCATTGGGGCTTAAACACCGGGGGTCCTGCGACTAGCTGACCACTTGTCCAGGGCATATGTTAACGACCCCCGGAGCGGCCAAATATCAAGAAAACAGATTTCGGGCACTGCAGGCCTTGCCCACTAGGGCTGTTACACCACTGAGTTTAGTTTCTATAGGTATTAATTATTAAAAGGTTGACCCGCCTTTTGTCTAAAATTTCTTTGCTTTTTGACGCCTCCTTGTGAGAAAACAAACCCCCACGAAAAATCAACAATGACAGATATGAAATAGCTTGCTTTCAAGGCAACTGCAAAGTGATTACCATCTGAATTTTTGATACAGTTGACTTTACCAATGATTACAATTATTGCAACTGATTTTTAATATGTAGAGGCCTACTTTGCTTGCAGCAATAATCAGTTTCATCATGTTATGTGATATTAATTGTAATATGTTACATATAAGATACTATACACAGTGAATATTTGTCTTTTCAGTTTATGTTTCCAGGATGTAAATGAATACCTGCTATTCTGACAATTTTTAGTATTTAAAACTAAATGTGTTTCTCATTAACGCAGTGTTGTACCTGTACAGAGGAAAACACATTCGCCAGCTCTCACTGATGAACTTCTCTTCAGAATATGAGAGAGATGATGAAATGTCTTCCTTCTTTAATTTAGGTAACATTATTTACATCCTGTTTTGTTATCTATTTATTACTTCATTGTTTTTATTTCGCATATCTCGAAATTATGCCCTCAAGTTTGTGTTTTAAGTTTAAAAGTAATTTTTCAGCTCTTGAACTACATCTTAGCATTTTAATGAGTTTTGGAGGTTTTATAAATATTTCTGCTGTAGTATTAAGAGAAACGTACATTTCAAAACGCTTCTCGATCATAGAAAACATTACTACATCTTTAAAGTATAGAGAAGAGTAAAATTTAACCGCGCAACGTTCTAAAGGTTTTTAAAGCTTTTATTAACATATTTTACCTTAAGGCTCAGTGCAGAATTTACGTATAGCCTACACAAGTTATAGCTTAGGGCCCCACACTCTTGGGGGCCCCCAAAATTAAAATATAGTATTAAAACATAGTATAACAGACTTATAAAGGGCCCCATACCATTAATAGCTTAGGGCTTTATCAAGTCTAAATTCGGATCTGCTAAGGTTACAAATCGTTAAGGCTAACATTGCACAAGACACCAGAAAATAATAATAATAATAAATTTAAAAAGATGAATAAGAATATGTTTGGAAATAAAGAGTTTAGCATGCAAAAGTTTTATAATTTATATTATATAAAATTCTGTTTAAAAATTTAAAAAAAAAATGCATGCAAGCGAAAACGAAAGAAGGCTATTATTTCAATTAGGAAAACATTTAAGAAACCTTAACATAGTTATATCATTGAGTTAAATTTCATTAAACAGTATCATGAAGAGAATGTGTACCTGACATTATTTATGGCTCCCATTTTTACAATGAAATTATAGATTTTACGAATTCTCCAAAGAATTTAAATCAAATTGTCACGAATTTAAAAATGATATGAAATATTGCTGCTGAAGAAGTATTCCACTCACCTTTCATGGAACCATATAGATCTCACGAATCAGCCACAGTGCTGAGGTTAGTGATTTCGTAGAGTACTGTGATTGAGGTTGTATTTCACTCATCTTTCGATAGACAGTGAATTAAGAACCATCTAAAAAGTTTTAATAAATTTTGCTGAACTTAATGCTGATGTGGAAAACTGCTTTTGAAGATGTATTCCAGTCATCTTGTCAGGGCTAGTATGTCTTTTTACTTGCTTTGGAAACATGCTATGTCCTGAATAGGAACAGAGAGCTTACTAAAGCTGTGTTGAAGTATGTGTGGAATGGACGTCACAAGCAGGAAAGGTGTACTGAACCCTTTATTCTCTATAACATTACAAGTGCTCCCGTACTTAGGGATACAGAGACCAACCACTTGTGGTCTGAACGTAAAAAATATAAAACTACTAACTAAAAGCTAACTTTGAATTAGTTTAGAAATGCCTGACACTAAGATTGGTCTTTTTAAAAAGTTGCGTAGGTAGTACGCAAACTGCCGATATAATAATACAATACGTTTTAAATATCAAGAGGACTAAACCTCTGGCCTTAAAGGCGGACAGCAGATGATTGAAAACTCGTGCGGAATACAGTGACAAAGCGGCTCACTTCCCTTCTCTCTCTAACTCTTGGCAAAATGCCACAACTTAAATACTTGGGCATTAGCAAGTACAATTTGCATAAACAAGTTAACGCATTTAACTCTGGCCAGAAGTGGAAAAATAAGAAAGATAGTACAGTTTTAAAATAAAATAAACGTTATTAAAACTTAAGATCTTTACAATATTTCCATAGTTCATGAAACCATAGATCTCAAGAGCAATCCAAACAATTTTAATAATATTATTCTGAAGTTAACGATGATGTGGAACACTGTTGCTGAGAAAGTATTCCACTTATCTTGTTATAGTCATGAAACTATAGATTTCATGAACCATGAATTGTGTTGAGATTAAAGATTGCGTGAAATAATGTGGTTGAGAAGTGTTTCAATCATTCTTCTATAGTTCCAAAAATTATAGATCTGAAGTTAACGCTGATACAGAATATCGCTGTTGAGGAAATATTCCACTCATCTTTCTACATTTCACAAAACTATAGATCTCAATAACCATCCAAAGAATTTTAATAAAATTCTGCTGAAATTAACGAAGGTATGAAATACTGCTGCCGAAGAAGTATTCCACTCATCTTTCTATAGCTCAATAAATTACAGATTTCAAGAACATTTAAAAAAAGTTTGCTTAAACTGCGTGAAGTTAATGTTGATCTGAATACTGAGGAAGTATTATACTGATCTTTCTACAGTTAACTGAATTTCTACAGTTAACTGAATTTAAGGAATTTGAATAAATTTATTCTGATAATAACGATGATGTGAAATACTGCTCTTATGAAATATTTCACTTATTTTTCTCTAGTTCATGAAGCTATAGATTTCACTAACTATCCAGAGATTTACAATAAACTTTGTTGAGATTACTGATGGTGGGGAATATTTCTACACCGAAGGTCTGACTTTTAAGACTATAGGGAAATGTATAAAAATGAAGCATTTTATGTAAATTAAAACAGGTTACATTCAGTTGAAATGGAGTTTCTGCGTTCAACTGAAAATGAACAGTGCATTTATGGAAATAATCAGCCTCCAACAGATATATTTTTTTGCGATAAAGTGCCTGATATTGATGTGCTAAATCACTTCAAAATATGCACTTCGAAGAATAGTTTTGTACTTTGTTTGAAGAACGGTTTTGTACTTAAAAGATTTGGAAAATAATAAAGATAATTACAATATAATCCTGCACATGGTTTGTTGCAAGGGACGCATACAAAATATCAGTCAGTATCCAAAGTGCTAAGTTACTTTGTGAGGCTTTATTTAATTGATTTAACAGTTATTTTACGTTGAAGTAGCTTTTTTATCGTTCTTGCTTTCAACTCACACTTTTCTGCCAGAGTGCAAATTGTCTAGCGCGCGTGTATTCAAATGAGGTAGAAAGGAGTTAGTATTTAAGGGAAAGTTTTGGAAGGCGAAATCGGAGCGTGTTCTTCCCGCCTGAAGACCACGTTGCTAACTTTGAATTTCTAGCGATTATATTTCTGTGGCGTTGAGCTGTTCTTGCCATCAAGCTTGTTTAAGCCGACTTTTCGAGTCAGAGCGAGCTTGCGCTGTAATTAATCTGTGAAGCCGTTAGGATAACTCAACTTAATTTAACTTATTCATTACCTTTTGAGCTGATCCAAAAACTCGGCTTTTGTAAGCATGAGTTGGTGCCATCTGGAAATTTTATTTGAGTTAATAAAGGGTTCTTACACCTTTCTCCTGACTTTCTAGTACTTTAACACTTAATTATCCACTAAACAGTCTTCCAACGTTTAGCTTATTTTATGATAGCCAAGTATACAAGACGTTGCAACTTTAGTTTCCTCTAAAAGTAATAGAAAAATAAAGCTTAGTTCAGCGAATTTATACGTGCAAGTCTTAACAGTTTTATTGAAGTAGTTTTTAAACACTGAAATTAGGATCAGATTTGAAATATGCCAAAGTTTCAGAATTCTACCAAATTTTTACAAAGTATTTCGGGATATTATGGAATGAAAAGAAGAACATATAGAATATTTCTTTATGAAAATGTGTTTTTTAACGCGGTGTATAGCAAGTATGCGTATTCTGAATAATTTTTATTACTAAATAAACGTCTTTTCTTTGATTATTATTTTTATTATTTTGCTGATTGTACTAAAAAGATATTTATGTGGCTCAGTTAGAAATGTATTCTACATTTCAATAGATTCGTTACAGTGATGTATTTTCTTTTATTTCAGAGAAAGCTCTGGAAAGAAGTGCTTATGCGCTCATGTGGATAAAAGGGTTGAAATATTTGCTTTCCATTGAAAATCTTGCTGTTAACAGCGACATAGCTGTGGCAACAATATTGTCTCCTCTTAACTCATTAAACCGACTTTTGCACCCTCCGACTTTTGACATTGGACTCCAAATGAAAAAGGTATATTTCATTTTTCATATTTTTGTATCCTGATTTCTCCAATTATCTCCCACTAAAGTTCACGAATTTTACCAAGGCAAGTAGTTCAATATTGCATCTATCGTTGGCACGGGCCTTGAGCATCATATAGATGATAAGACGAATCCACAATCAACCCCTCCCCCACTATGTCCCATTTAGATGAGGAATACCCCGGGGCGCGTACTAGAATCTCACATCCCTTTCCGCTACCACCAAACCATTCGAAAGGACATTCGGCTCTCCGTGCATTTAGAGTGTCTCCGTGCCGTAAAGACATTTTATGCTCTATCGAGTGATCTGGCAGGCTAAGGCAACATGCCGACCCTCTATAGATCACGTTGGATAATAGTAGCGGTATAAAAACGAGCGTTGCAAATTGTCCCTGTAATATTTGTTAAGAATGGCAGCACGACTGGTGCAATCATCAGTTTGACGTACAATGTGTGTGAGATAACGACGAGAGTGCTCTTGCTGTACTCCAAATTCTAACTCCCAATGTATATCCAATTAGTCTATGCCGCGCTTGCTTCCAAGCGCTCACCTGGTTTCCTTGTATCTAACATACGACCATCATGGGCACTAACATAGGAATGAATCTCATCTGAGAACGCAGCAGATCTCAACATCGCCCTCCAATGAACTTTAACTTGACATCACAGAAGTGGCAATGATTTGGAGTTAGTCGTATGGCCGATAGAGGACGTCTGGATAGGAGCTGTCCCTCAATTAATATATTTATTACAGTTAGCTGTGTCATTCTGGTGCCACTAAAAGTTCGTATGTCTGTTCCAGATACAGTACGATGCGCTACAGGCATGAGGTGAATACTGTGGTCTTTCCTTTGAGTCGTCGCACATGTGCGACGGGACCCCGGCTTTCATCAGACTTCCCGTGAGCACTGCTGCCAACACGCCCGATGCACAGTAAATATATCTCTGCCAAGAGATTTTGCAATATCGCGAAAAGAAAATCGACCATCTCGTAGGCATATTGTAATATGGATCTCATTCAATCTCATCCAATTTTAGTAAACTGCTAATAATGCTCTCTTCGTTTCTGTAAAGGCATTCTTGACTCAGATCTAGATGGCAACGTCCAATCCAGAAGATAAATAAAGTACACGAAATTTACATCACGTGTTTAAAGCCAATGAGGTTTACGTATTCATAGTGTTGCTACTATTTCGTCTATCGCGAAATTTGAATAGACAAAATCTTTCAGTTATTTAAATATGCCTCCCAAATTTCTTTTATGCAGCACAGTTCTTTCTTGGTGTTGGGATTTCCTTTTCCATCATCTAAGATGAACTATTTACCCAGAAAGGCCTACTGACGGTCATACATACTCAAATTGACAGTCATATAAATATTTTAAGAAATTCTGTATTTCATATTTTAAGAGATAATATGCATTTATATTATTTGCGGGAAAAATGAAAGAATATCATCAGTTTTCATCAGTCCTACAATTTGTTTGACATTTTAAATGCTTAACGTTACCATTTATAGGTCATTTCGAATTGTTATTTCAGTTTTAATAGATAGTATTTTAGTTTAAAACTAATAAATTTGAAAATTTGCTTTTCTGAATTTTATGGTACAAAACTTCATTCTTTTATAGGAGGTGCCAATGGGATACGACTTAAAATGTGGCCAACTGTGGAATATGTCTCAGTAAGTAATTTAGAATTCCAGAGTGTACATATTGTAACATTGTGTTTTGAATATTTTTCCAGTCTATTTTTGAAGAGTTTGCAAATACTCGTTTTTAAAAACGAATATACTTTCTTATCACGTTTTCGAATATTTTATATAAGATTAAATCTGCATTGCCTGGAAGAGAGCCAAATGCTTCTTAGATGGCCTCTTCTTTTTTTATTAGTTAGAAAAGAAATTGTTTCTAAGGCTGAAAAATTCATGCTATGTTTAGCGATTTTCTGAGCACGTATAATAAAACAGATACCATGTTTGAAATACATTTAATTCTCTTACTTTTATAGATATGTTTACTTGTCATTTGTATGTTACATAGCTATACTGTAACGCCGCCATTTTTAGACACTGCACAAAGTACTATTCAGGTGAATTATATAAAAACCGAATGTACCTGAACATAAGACTCAAAACTACTGAGAGATGATGAAAATACATAACATAGTAAAAATTTAATTTAACCTTAAATTAAGTTATATTCCTATTCGACTTAAAGATGGGGAAGGGAAAATTGATATAGATAAGGAATTAATCGCATTCCTGTCGAAAGCTACGTTTGGCACAGTATTTGCAAGCGATTGCAAGGTCGTGGTTTTGAATTTAGTGGATTTGGTCGTGGAACAACTGATAAACTTATGACTTTATATTTGGTATATATAGAGAGAAACAGGAAGGACACGATTTACAGTGCTGCTCATTTTAGCATTTTAACACTTGTAGGGTTTATATTTATTTTAACTAACATTTATTTTAAGTTTAAACTATCTTTCCTGTCAAGCCTTACTTTCCCCTGGAACTGCCAATGCCAGAATATGTAAATTTTAGTAGAACGCGCAAGGATTCAAATTATCAGCGGAAGTATTATGATTTAAATAGAAAGGAAACGAGTTCGGGGTGTGATGTTCTTACTTCACGAGCGCGGAGGTAGTTAGCGAGAAATTGAAGAACCCCGCGTGTCGGCCTATGTGCTTGCCGGGAAGTAGTGTTAATCGTTCAAGTGAGCTTCAGTTTGCTGAATTAGCAGCGGTATTGTAAAACGCGGTGAGTTAGTTATTTTTAGAGAGCCTCGTAGTTAGAGTCTTGTCTTTAGTTTCTTTTCAGGTTATTATTTTTATTTGACCGCCGAGTTGGCGCAGTCTGTGAGCGTTAAGAGCACGCAATTGTAAATTTTTATGTTGAATAAAAAGGGACTTAAACCCTTCACAAGACTCTGTCTTTTATCCAGTTTTCACAGTCACCTCTTGGTTGCGTGCAAATTGGAGGCGCGCAACGTTACACACTGATTGACTTCTAACTAGAGCAGAGCCCTTAGAGGTTAATGAGATTCCAACTTGCATGGCAAATTGATGTCTCGTTTACAGTACCCGATTAAGACAGTCTGGGAGATTAACTCATAATGTTCTTTCAAAGAGACTTGTTGCTCACTTTCCTTACTTTCATGAGGGAAAAAATTGCGAAAAGATATAGAATTATTTGGGAGATTATTAAAACTTGAGCCCCTAGGCATGGGCCTCCTGAGTTTACTCGGTAATCAGGCATTGCGTGCATAAAATAGTCTTCGTAACTGTAAAAAGCGCATCCAGTAGGAATACACCTGCACATTAATAATAGTCCGCCAAATGTTGACGAGTTATAATCCACTACATTTTAATTCGGAAGCCACTAAGAGTTTATTAGATTTCGTGAGTTGGAATTTTGAGCAGTCAATCGTGTTGTGATAGCGGCTGAACCATAGGCATACAACTGATAAACTGATGTGCTAAACATCTAAAAATACATGAATACACATGCCTTTATCTCCTTAGTTTTTCACCAGATGCGTATTTAAAAATTCTGCTTTCACAAAGTTCATTCTATTACTAACTATCAGTTGTAAATGATCCCCTTTTTTGTTGCTGAAGGAATGTTTTGTATAGGATACTCATAGATAGAGTATATATATTCTTTGTGCCCTGAGCGTGCAAAGTGATGTTCAATACTGAGCAAGTTAGAAATATAGCCACAAGTTCACATCTTCATACTGAAGAGCGATACAGAAAAATACCAATCAGACTTACTCAATTCTCGCATGGGCGACGGGAAACTTAAACCTTCATGTTACAGCTGTAACTGCAATATTTTCAGCGTTATTTTCTCTAATGTTAAAAACTGTGATGCATGCGATGTTTATTTGAAATGTGAAAAGAAATTTCAAATTTAGTATGCCACTCTCCATTTCCTTTTACAGGACACACTAACACATTACATGTCATATATACACTGGTTTCCTATCCAAACATTACGGAATAATCACGAAAATGGCAATAACTCTTTTAAAAACAAGGCAAACTCTATAACATTTGAATATGCAGTCAAATAAGAATTCCTGAGTAAAAGTGCAGTATGCAAATTAGTGGCACTGCAATGGATATACGACATCTACTAGGAGCTTAAAATTGCTTGTTTTAGGGCAAGCCTGCAAATTTCGCTGTAATGCTGAGAGAAGAAATCTGAGATAGCCAGTTTGTAACAATGACCTCCAGGTACCATTTGCCGGAAGTACTGAGATGGAGAGCTATTGAGAAAATAGAGACAGGACAAAATCTGACAGAAGTGGAGAGATGGCTAAGTGTGAGTCGGTTTTTGGCTCGTAGACTATGGGAACAATTTCTAACCACAGATTCGTTAGCCAAGGACGACCAACCACTACGACTAGCCCTAATGAACGATATTTCTTGTTATGCGCGCGAAGGTATAGAACCTCAACTCCGACTAAGATCCTCCGTTGCTGCAGCACTGGAAGCTTGGTGTTAATGTCAACAGGGATTCAGCCATTTGCGTGCAGCTCACGTCACGTCATAAAAGGGAACGTTTGAATTGGGCAGGTAAACATGTCCGGTGGACAGCTGATCAATAGAGGGCTGTTCTCTTTATGTATGAGTCCAGTTTAACCTCCATAGCAAAAGTAGGTTTTATTTGGTTTGGATAGAACCTGGAACCTGTTATAATCCATTAAACATCCGTGAAAGAGATGCATACGGAGGAGGCAGTGTCTGTGTTTGGGGTGATATCTCTTTGGGGGAACACACATACCTCCATGTCTTTCCGCGTGGAACTATGAATGCTCAGGTCTATAGAGATGACATCCTTGATGTTTATGTGCGTCCTTATGCTGGGGCAATAGGTGATTATTTCCTGCCACAGGATGACAACGCTAGACCGCACAGGGCTCGCATCGGGTATGATTATCTTCAGCAGCAAACAATTCAGAGCATGGATTGGCCAGCTCGATCCCCGGACATATATTCTACCGAATATGAATCCCGTTTTAGAATGCTTTAAGAAGACGTATAACTACCTTTTTTCCGACTCTTCAGACTTTTGCCACGCATGCAACTTTGCAAGAGCAATAGCTTTCACTTCCTACGGAACTAATATATTGCAAAATTGACAACATTGCACATCGCTGTATGTGTTTTATTGCTTCTTGGGAAGATCATACCGCATATTGAGGGTAATTTTCCTATACTAAACTGACACATCCGATTTATTTATTTTACACATATGCTAATTTCTATATCATTATAACTGTCTGATAATTTTTTTTATAATTGTATGCCTTACTCTGTGTTGTATTATATGGCTACTTTTCATTAAATTCTACATGTAACCTTTTGAGTAATCGTCATTTTTAAGATTTTTTTGTAATGAATGATAGCCAGTGTATATCGAACTTTCTAAACAAACAACTTACAACGTGCAATGTGGGATCGGAAACTAAACAGCGAGCTGCGAGAGCGCACCTGCTTGGTGAAAATGGAGTACACAATAAAAGGATTTATTAAAGATGAAAATATTTTTATTATTGGATACTTTACAGTAAATTCTCAAATGATCGCCCATCAGCTGTAATACAGGCGTCACATAGACAACGGAGTGAATCATGCACACACTGCGAGTTTCCTGGCAGTTAACGAATGTCTGAGCTGCAGCGCTAATTGGAGCGAGAAGGTCTTCTGATGAAATGATGGACGTTTCGTAAACGATGCTTTTAACTTTTTCCACAGAAAAACAAACATCAGGAAGGACAGATCGGGAGAAATGGGAGGCCAAAAGACGGGTCCATCGTGTCCAATACATATGCTCTGAAAGGCAATTTCCAGGTAGTTTCGCACAAACTTGAAGAAATATGCTGGCGCTCCGTCGAACTGGAATAACATATTTGTTCGAGCTTATACTGGCACATTTTTTAGCAAATCAGGCACCTTCTGCTGAAAGAAGGTAAGGTACTCCAGTTCGTCTAGGAGGCCTTAGGCAGCTCGAACATGTAGCATGCAGATTTACTAGACACGCACGTAATTGTTGTGATGCCAACGGATGTAAAAGTAGTTCCGTCCATGAACAAGACAGATACTGAAAACTTTGGATGCATTATGCTCTGTTACAGGAACCCATTCGAAAATGTTTCGCATTGTGGAAAATTCGTTTCATTTAAGACCTGCACCCGATGGAGATTGTAAGGGTGTAACATTTCGTCACGCAACACACACCACACCGTCATATGGTTGACAACTTGGTCACGAGCTGTTGCTCGTGTACTTCTTTCGGGCTGGTTGTCCACTGCCTCTAGTATTGTCTCTATTCAATTTATTGTTTTCGCTCACCTTGGTCAATCTGCGTCATGTCTTCGGGCCATCTCCTATCATCCCATCTCCAAGAACCACTTGTGCAAACGTTGAAATGTTCTCCGATCGAGCTTCGCCCCGTCGGAAGTCGCTCTTGATAAAGTCTTACCGCTTCTGCAGCATTGTCTTTTGTATCCCCGTACATAAGCTGTACATGAGCCTTTTCCGCATTTGAATATTGCTGCATCTCTGGCGACATTTATCAGGTGAAGACGGGCTCTGCGAATGACTACGTTTCATCTACTCTAGAGAAAGTGCTCTTTCGTAGCTCGCCATTAGCTTTCTGAACCTACATTGCAAGTTGAAAGTTATTTGTTTTCAAAATTCTATCAACCCTTACAGTTACGATCATTAGTTTTGTTACATTCTCTATGTATATGTGGATATATACATACTCCGAGTGGCCAAGTGGTTAAAAATGTTGAAATCTGGTATTTTGACTCGCATTCTTAGAATAATGGGACGGCTGCATGGTTGGTTTTTGTGGGGTTTTCCTATTTGTAAAGTGAATACGAGTTAGCTTTTCTTAGAAAACTCTATATGAAACCATGCCCTTCCCTTTTTTTCTTTGTTATAATGAAATAGCCAACATTTGTAGCAAATGTGTAGGCATATTTTTGACTCATCTCTATAGTTATAATAGGGTACAGAAAAGGCAAGGTGCAGATAATTTTTTTACTATATCATTCTGGTTATACACAATTTGTCTGCAGTATGCTTTGTATTTAATAAAATTAGATGCTAGAAATCCTTCTAACTATGTGTTTAAAAATTTCATTTTCGAATACCTCTTATTTAAAAAGTGAACTCTGAAACTGAAATTGAATTTCTAACTTTTAAATTCTAAAGCAACATTGACACTAAATTTCGAAATACTGAATCCTTCTCCTGTAGCATTTAGATTAATTTCATTTCTATGTTGCTGTTAATCTGGTTTATAAAATATCTAGTTTTGTTTCATATTTTCTTTCTTTTAACTTGGTATAAATGTTTTCATTCAAAACGTTTTCTTATCAAAGTAAATCAAATGGATCGTTTTTTTAAAAATAACTCAGTGGAGAAATTCACGAAATTTTAGATAAGATTATTGTTCATTAATTAGGGATACTGGAATCACTGCTGGCGAAAGAAAACTAATTCGCTAACCATTTATGACTGCATATAATTATGCAAAAGTGCAGCTTTACTTCAAATCTTTTATCGGGTTTTTAAGCCCTGCAATTTCCTCTTTATGGATCGCATATTCTTAATATTCACATAATGAGAGTATTTCAAATTTTTAAACGTACTCGGGCGAATTTTCTTGCAACAAATACGAAGCATATCTGAATTCCGTTTTGAATACAGCGAATTTAGAGCAGAAATCGTTCTGTGTTTTAGATATGCAAAATATTTACCCACTGCTATCTTGCAAAAAGCGTTACGAAAACAATGCAATACAGATCTACCAGGCCAACAGAATATTCTGTAATACTGTAGGTAGTTCAAGAGCTGTTTGCCTGCGCAAAGGTTATAGCTCCAGACTAGATGGCCAAGCATTTTTTAGGGAAATATTGAACAAAGTTTGAAAACATTTGCTTGCAGCCTGCAAAAATCAACAATTGGCGTTTTTCGTGATTTTTGCATCTCTCAGGCAGCTATCTAGATAACTTTGCAACGGTGATTGTAGATGAAATCCAATCATTTGCAGGAGCCAGAGAATTATACAGGCGATACAAATTCTGTATTGGCAAAAAATGATAATGTCACATTGTTCGGATATAAGGCATCAGAAATTATCATGCTTTTGTTCAACAGAAGCTGGATTTGGCAAACCTAAGCGTATTCTGTTGCATTTCACAGAATAAGGTGTGTGGGTAGCTTTCTTCTTCTTTGAGAACACTGTTGTATCTTCAACTGAAATTATTTCCTCAAATCAAGGTGCAATTCTGTTCCAAAATATTAGGGCTTCATCTCCGTATTAATGGTATTCTTCGCTTCCTGATCGTTAAGCTCCCATGTCATTGGTCTAGTCCACACGGTAAAGATGATTTAACATTTTTCTGATGACCATTAAGGTCTCCCGACATTATGGCCACTGATGTTTTCTTTTGGAATAACGTCAATCTTTTGTTCTTCCTCTGCTACAACGTTAGGGCATCATTGCTGAGTTGCTGTGGTGACATCACCAAAGAAATAATATAAAGCACGTGAAGAGAATCATGATATTGCTTGCACGTGTGAATATTTACAGAATTATGAATGCAATTTGAAAGGTCCCGCTTTATTTCATACAATTCTTGTTATTTTATTGAATACTTTACTTTGTAAACGTTGCATATGAAGTACAGAGTTTCGAAAATTGATGAACTATATATAATATTTCAATACGAATAGTGGGCAAAGCAGCATTTGGAAAATTATGAAAAACTTTGAAAATTATAAAAGACGAAGGAATTTTTATGTTTGCATGGTAAATTAATGACACACAATTTCGTTAAAAATTACATTTATTCAAATTTATGAAACTAAATTTTATGTAATTTACATACGTTGCTTGCAAACGTTCAAGCTTTTATTTTGCCTAGATATTAAATTAAATTTCTTTATATGTTGTTGATTATGTTTATGTACAAGTGGTAAAGAACAAAAATGTTTCCAGGATTATAACCAAATTGTATCAGCAGTGATAGAGGGAACAAACTAAGTAGAACTAGAAAGTGATTTAAAATGTATTCGAATATATCAGCTCATGTAGATGTGCTTCAAATGTGTATACATATATATATATAAACCCTGAAAACTTTTTTTTCTGAAGATTCACTGATTAAATTTCATAAAGTTTTATGGAAAACGGACGAGTTTTTCTTTTTTCGTTTTTTTTTTTTTTTTTTTTTTTTTTTTTTTTTTTGCTTGCAGTCGGCGTTCTTAGTTTCTTTTTTTTTCTCACATTCTTTTTTAAGTAATTTAAAAGGAAGGAAATATTATAAAAGTAGCTAACTTTGCAAACCATTCTTCGTCATCTAGCAATGAAATCCAGGTTTCCGACGCTTAACATCTCATTATTCACTAATAAAATCTTTTAAGGAAGCTCAGTTAAAAACAGGAATGGTAATACTGTGCCATGAACAAATTTGGGTCAAGAATTTGATTACTCTAGATAGTCTAAGAAATTATTTATGAGCTCAAGAATAGTAGAAAATGAATGTAAGATTTGTTAGAAAAGTATAATAAACTTAAATGGATATCTCGCAATTTCTAATGTTGTAGTATTTATAATTGCGTATAATTCGATGAATATGTAAATATTATAATTAAACAAGAAACGTTTTGAGAAATATAGCATTAGTTTCTCATAACTACTAAAATTATATTCTTTCACAGCTTGTGGAATACCAAAGATTGTATAAAGTCTAATGTTAAAGGTGATATTGTAACATGTCGCTGTCATCACCTTGGAAGCATTGCTTTGTTGCTGGAGGAAGGACCACAAGTAAGTGTAAAAAACTCGCTACTTTTGAAATAAATATGGAATTTTTGAAAACTTTAGTAGGTCCATTCATGAGTTGTTATGAGACTTAAAGACATGTGACTTTATTTGCTATGCCCTTTTTAAGTTTTACGAAGTTTTGGTTAAAATTCCTTACGTACAATGCATTATTAATTTTACTTAAAGATAATTTGAGGAGATCGACAAAAAAGCGTTAACTTACTAAACTTTGGATTTAGACTGGTGAATGAAATTACTGTAAGATGTAAGTTTTTTTGAAAATTATTAAATTAATTTAATGTATAAGATACTAAAATAAAATTTCGTACTTCTCGTGCTTGCCTTCTTTTCGTTTAAAATAATTCAGCAAATTCTTTTATTTTGCATGAAAATTTAAAAACAAAATGTGTGAATATAGGTAAAATAAATATGTACTATAAAAAATATAAATTTTTCCAATATTTAAATTAGCAGAATTTATCTATTTACAATATCATGATTTGTTTAAATTTAATAAAACTTTATTACAATTCAGATTTCTCACTATAAAAATAAAGTAGTCTGAAGAGTATATAAATGCAATGATCATTTTCAGCTAAATCATTGACCGGAACGCACCTGGACAGTGATTAGTTGCAAGCAAGGGATATTGCAAGTATAGAGTTAATGCTGCAAGTGTAATTTGCTGCTGCTGCTTGTTCAGTGCTGTATTAACTGATGATATAAGCTCATCGTACGATTCTTATTTAAAATGAAGAATTGGAGTTTGAAATTTAATAGGCCATATAGTGAGACACTATATTTACTTCAAGAATATAACCATATTTTCTAACTCACACATATAATTTGATAAATATCTCTGGCTTTGAATGAGTTTTGCCTATTAACTATAAGTATGCTAAATAAATTCTTTATTAAGCTGTAATTATACCAAATATATTATTATTTTTTATTGTAGACATTATATTATATTATATTATATTATATTATATTATATTATTATTTTATTATATTATACTAGAAAGCCCGGCGGTCATACGAAATGACCGCTGTTCTAGATATGATAAATTATAATTAAAATGATTTGTGCAACGGTGTCTGCTAATTCAAACAGAATTAATCTGAATTAGTTTATTTACTGCACAAAATGAATTTTTGTTTAAAATGAAAAGTATAAATACTTGATCGCACTCTGGAACCCCGTGAACAGATTCCTTGGAATAAAGATAAAATTACAGTTGTAAACCATTTAAAAAACAGATGATTACCAATGCAAACAAATATTCACATTCCCCCTGACACGCTCAATTTGCGTTCATCTGAAAATCCAGTTTAAAATGCAAAAACATATTTAATAATTTTAAAGGAAAATGCATTTATTATCAACATTGTATTTTATATCTAGTTTTGGCAACAATAAAAGAAAATTCTGAACCTGGATTTGAAAACCAAATGTATGAGAAACCATTGGCTAGTACAGTTACGCACGTAACCAATAAACTATCGGCGACAAACACTTAAGCCGCATATATATAAGATATTATTATATTATATTATTATTATATTATATTATTTTATTATTATATTGTTTATTACATTATAGTTACAAGTACACCAAACAAATATAGTATTTATTATATAGGTACGCGATATAATCCTTTAAAACTGCACTCTTTTCGCAGTTATTTTTCAGCCTTTTTCTCGATGATTTTGTAGGACGGCATTTTAACATTGTGACGTTTTATTACTTTGCTACTCTTTCAGCGCAAAGTTTCGTAAAACGGTGTTTTCCCCACATCTTGCTTTCTTAATATTGTTTTCTTTCATTATACTCCATAACAGGTATGTTGGACTCGCAGCCGTTGGCTCACTACTGTGAGACCCTCTGTTCACCCCGTTAAAATACCAAAAGTTATATGATTATAATATTTTATTAAAAGTTAAAATTCGACTGAATATTAAGGCTCTTGACAAGATCAGTTTACAAAGATATTTTGTGAACAGACAGCGAAAATAGAAATAAGAGAAATTCATTGTGACTGAATACTAAAACAAAAGTTCAATGAAGTGGTTATTCCCAATTTGCTATATTGACACAATGCAAGTATGAAAAACCAATTAGATTGTTAATCGTTTATTTCTCGAATATGTGCATATCGATAACTGTTTGTTTCTCGCACATGCACAGATTGGTAACAGCTTGTTTCTCGCCAATGCAGAAACGTGCCGAATAAACTTTCTACCCAAGGCCGCTACAGAAGACAAGTACCTTTTTTCCTTGCGGCCCGTACCATTGTACACTAATGACTGTTTGGCTTTGAGTCTGACATACATGCTCTTAGACGCAATGTATCTAGATGCAGTAAAAATGGAAAATTAATAGTGACTTGCGACAAAAGATAATATCAGGGCAAACGTGTGTATAACGTGAAAGTAGCTGTACCTTTACTGTAATATTAAAAACGTTTTTTTTTTTTTTTTTTTTCTCTTTTCCTTCAATAGAATACGTCTCTGCATCCTGAACCTGCTGTAGGTAAAATGATAACCGTCAGCTGCGTCATGTCTCTGTCAGCAATCACCGTAACCCTTGTTGTGAACTTCGTGTTAAAGAGGTATTTATTTGCTGAAATTCCAATTAATTTAATTTATGTGGCCTGTAATGATGTTTGCAAAAGAAAATGCGTTATCACTTAATGCCATTCCTGCTAAACCGTTAACATTCTAATGTATCGTTAAATTTAAAATTAGGAAACCACGGAAAATTAACTTTACAATAGCATAATTAAAGCAGACGTTTTATAGCAAAGTTGTAATTAACATTCTGCATACTCATAATAATAATTTTAAAGTTCATCATATCATTTTTCTGAGTTTTTGATTTATTAAACCCTGACTGTATTTAATTTAATTTTACGTAATCCGTAACATACAAGCATTGTTAAATTAATGGTTAAAAAGTAAGTTGTTCAGGTATAAAATTAATCAAGCGCAATCAGCCAATAAAATTATATTTCACTTTGATTTCTATTAAAATACAAAAATAAAGTAAACGAAATCATGGAAAAGTAAGTCATCTCCCGATACTGACAGAATATTGTTTTGTACTGATCACTGGTTTAACTAAAAAGACTAAAGGAATTTATTCCCTGTATTAAAATACTTGAAAATACAGTTAAATCGTTAATTTATTCCTGCTAATTATATAAAATAAAGAAAAGATTTCATAAAATAAACTTTTATTTAAAACTTATAAAAGAATGACACGTTTTCAATCAAATTACACTGCTGGACATTAAAATTGCAACACCAGGAAAGAATGATGAGACCAACGTCAAAATCATATGAAAGGAAGAAGAGGTTGAGATATGCAAATGATTATTATTTTAGCCCATTTGTTAGTATTCCCACGAAGATAGGAGAAACGATATCTGAAGCACTGGATAAAAGAAAAGTTGTGTAGTAGATTTCTTAATCGGAAGGCGCTTTGTAAGGTCAGAGTTTGCTCAGAATATCGTGTTATGTCTCGAATAATAATAACAAATGCTTACCAGCAAGAGTCAGAATTCGATAGAGGCAGGATCGTTGCCTATCCAGAGTGTGAATTATTGTTCCGTGATATCGCCCGTTGCACTGGTCAACATCCAACCGCTGTCATGCGAATAGGGAATCAATGGGTTGCTAAGGGTCATACTGAACGGCATGAAGGATATTAACTCCCTCCTATAACTAACGCACGAGAGGACAGACATTGCCAACCAGCGGCCGAGCGGTAAAGTCGCTGAACACTGGTAGTTCGGTCCGAGGTTCGAATCCCGCGAACGGGCTGGCTGCATGGGCGTTTTCGTGGTTTTCCCCATGTGTAACGTGTATACGAGCCAGTTTCCCTTAGAAAGTCCTCCACGAAAGGCATCCCTCCCCTTAGGCAGATAGCCCTTGTGTGCTTTGCCATAATTAAATACACCACACCACACCGAGAGGACAGACATATTATGAGGTCAGTCCTGCAAAACCATACAGCCACATCACCGACCATTAGTTGGGAAAAGGGCATGTTTGCAGCACGCATAGTATCCATTCGTACGGTGCGTCAACGTTTGCAGCCGCGTGGACTATCAGAGCTATCATTACTTGGGCTTCCCTTGGCAATGCAGCATAGAGAGAGACGGCGACACTGGGTTCGCCAAACGAGAAACCTGGGTACAGGAGTAGCACGATATTGCCTTTTCAAACGAGCCCCGGTTCTACGTGTAATATTCTAATGCCTTGTACGTGTCTGGAGTATCCCAGGAAAAGACATATCGCTTGCTTGCATTCGATATCGTTATAGAGACCGGGCACCTGGCATAATGGTTTGGGCAGCCATTGGGTTCACGACACGCATATATCTAGTTCGGACCGACCGTAAGGGTAAATTTCTGACATCTTACGTCGAGTGGTTTTGCCGTATCTTCGGGGCTCCCAAACGTCGTATTCCAACAAGATAATGCAAGACACATGCTGCACGTCGACACTGATCTTCTTCGATACACAGGGTATTCGATTGCTGCCTTGGCCTGCTCGGTCTCTAGTTCTGTCACCCATTAAAAACATCTGGTCACAGGTTGCAAAGAGACTGGCCCGCCATCCCTCTCCAGCTAATACAATTGATGAAGTGTGGTATGGCCTTGAAGCAGCATGGAATGAGTTGCCCGTTTCTGTAATCCAAGCCCAGTTAGACTCTCCGTGCCGAATTAGGTAAGGGCAATTTTAGATGCCAAGGGTGGCAGATGCTTATACTAATTTAGCACCTCTGTAAACCCCAAACAGCTTACAAATTTAATCATTTTATTTTCATGCCATGCTGTTTACGTACAATAAATATCTTTTTTTGCATTTACTTCCTTTCATGGTATTGCAATTTTAATGGCCGACAGTGTATTTAGTTGAAAAATTGTTTTCCACTAATTAAAATCTCCCTTTTACTCTCGACAAATCTGTTATGTCAGATAGTCGAAAATATCGAGAAATTTCCCAAATTTTGCTTTGAAGTCAGAAATTACATTAAAATTTCACATAAACTTTAACTCAAAATTTAAAAGAGTTTTTCTATTTCTATACTATGGTGCAAAAGGAGAAAAAACGAAATTACATTAAAATTTATTAGAAACTTTGTAGGATTCTTCACTGTGTAATTCTAAGTTACTGTTGGAAGTGAAGAATCTTAAAAACTGATAAGCGAATAACCGCTTGTGTTCGTGTTACAGGAAAAACAAGATAGAAGGGTAAAATAACCCTTTATTATTCCAATTAAAGTTTAACAAAAACTCGTCTAGTACAATACAGTACAGTTGTACAATAAAACCGACACTTGGTCTTGAACTTAAGAGACTAAAAATTAAACTAAACTAATCTTCACTAAAGAGATATAGCCGAAGCTATCAAAATTCTAACAGAGTTGGCCCGTTAACGCTAACTAACTGCGAATCTATCAGAGGCCTAAAGTACGGCCGAGCGTAATAATAGCTTAAGAGAGAGTAGCCTGAAAAGGCGGACGCGTGCAGCCAGAATAAATGGTATCTCTCTCACTAAGACTGTAGAACTTCGCGGTTATAAACCGCTCTTATTCTCATTAGCATTCAGACGCGTGCAGCCAGAATAAATGGTATCTCTCTCACTAAGACTGTAGAACTTCGCGGTTATAAACCGCTCTTATTCTCATTCTCATTAGCTCTTCTTCTCATTAGCATTCAGACGTGATTCTAAAACTACGTTCTGGCCGGAAGTGGTAGGTTGAAGTAAGAATCGATAGGAAAGGAAGTTTAACTCAAAATTTAACTATTAATAAAATTAACATAATCCTTACAAATTCATTTATTATTTTTTCCCATTCCATTCGATGATACAAATAATAAAATTCTGAGACTTTTAGTAGGTTCATTAAATGAAGATATGTATGAAAAGTTATATCAACATTAAATTTAAAAGATATTGAATCGAATTTGAAAATATAGGTTTACCATATCTTATTATCATCCATAAACAATTGTCACTAAATCTAGATAAGTTTTGAAAACATTACTAGCCTCTATTATATTTTTTACCTCAACAACATTCGCGCTTCTTTCATAGATTTTGAAGGTTTCAAATCTTTATAACAGATACATTTTTGGATGTTAGAATTTTAGTCCCATAATGGAATATATAACCCCCCCAAATCAAGAAAATCAAAATGAAATGCCAAGAAAACTATGTAAGTTATGAAATAGAATAGAGTTAAAAATGATTTGGTAGATTTCATTATGACACAATAACATCATAATATTGGAACTATGTTTCCTATTAATGCTGAAAGGAGAAGCGATTCTGTTTGCGAGATGTCTGCGCATATTATTACTAGTAATCACGGATGTAGATCTCGGTTGTGTTGAAAATAAAGTATTTTGTCTAACTAAATGTTTAATAAAGAGTTATTGTGATGTATCTCAATAAATATATACGCCTGTATATAAACATATGTTCACATAAATAGTATATGACACTAGAAGTATGGCGGTGCGTCGGTCGAGCGTAAAGTCGTTGAGCACTTGTAGTTTAATTTTGGTTCAATTACAAGGTGAATGAAGCTCGCTGCATGAGCGTTTCCAGTGGTTTTCTCCATGTGTAATGTGGATACAAGCCAGTTTCCTTAAGAAAGTCTTTCACGAAGTCATCCCTTTCTTTAGGCAGATAGCCGTTGCGTGCTTTGTCGCAATCAAATAAACAAACCATCCGTTGAGTGTAAATACAGTTTAAGATTTTTTTGTTTTTAGGTTGGTTTATTTGATTGCGGCAAAGCTTTCAAGGGCTATCTCCCTAAGGTGAGGGATGCTTTCGTGAAGAATGTTTTATGGAAGACTGGCTCGTATGTAATTTACACATGCGGAAAACCGCGAAAACGCCCATGCAGCCAGCCCGTTCGCCGATATTCGAACCCAAAGTTAAAAAAAATAGTGTATGTTTGCATTGAAATTAAATTTTATAGAGTCTTATTAACAAAACCTCATTAAAAAATAATAAATCTTGAATCCACAATAACTAGTATTTATCCGTTATCGTACTTAATGCTGAAAACTGTATTAAGGTTAATATTTATATTGTTTTTTCAGAAGGCAACAGCCCCTATCAATATTCATTTTGATAAGTCTTCTAATCTGCATGGCTACTATTCAGATAATCCTTATGTTTGGAGTCAACAGAACGGAAAATTTTGTAAGTCAATTTATAGTCTTTTCTTCACATTTCCAATGAAATAGGTTTTGAAATTCTCAGTAGTTGTATTTTACTCAGTAGAGTTAGTTATAATTTACTCACTAGTAAATATACTCAATAGCTAAGCTTCTTAATTGAATTTCGATGAAAAATTTAACATTTTGCCATCGATAACCCGGATTTACATACAAACTGCTTACTTATGCAGTCTATGGAACTTCGGATATGAACGACTCGCTGAACAATTAGATTCCCGAACAATTTATCTGAATTAAAACGCCTCGGATGACGAATATTGTTTCGAGTTACGTACATTAAAATCCGAATTTGACACTAGGAGTTGTTTTGCTGTCTGTGATTCTGTGTCCAGGCAATGGACTTCAGAGTTAATAATGAAGATGAGAAGAAGTTATTAGAGGACTACATAAAGAGTTCAGTAAGAAAGATGAGTTCAATAAGATGATCGATAGAGATGGCCCAAGTGAAATAGAGAAACAATTTATAGGGTATTAGATAAATATGCATTTAGACTGACATGGGAATGTTAGATATCTTAAGTATATTTAAAAAAGAAAAAAAAAGTAATGTAATTTTCTAAAATATTGAATGATTTTAATTAGATATGGTATGAATTAAATGTAATTTTATATTTATCAATTAGATTAAAACGTAAAACAATAATGTTCTTAAGATCTGCGTCTATAGCTTTTAAATAGTTCAAGTTGTTAATTAATATCAGACATATTAAATATGAAAGTATGATACCTTACGTTTTTCCAAATGACAACAGGCTCGAATGAAAAATGAAACAACGCATTAAAATAAAAAATCACAAAATCGTGTTTCAATATAATCATTCTGGGCTAAGGAAAGATATTTATGTAATGTTTTCATGCAAGGAAACTTCTTTCAATAATATATCTTTCGTTTTCAGTTTTAATAATTTCCATTTATTTTTGTATTATGAAGTTATATGCAAAATACTTCGTGAAAAATTGTCCATGATTCAAGAGTGGATTTATTGGATTACCAGATATTTTACTGTAAATGACAAAATGCACGGGGCATGAAGTTTGGAAGCTTTTAAACCATATCCTATTTGGTTGTTGCTTGGATAAATACTAGGCAGTAAACAGTTGAACTTAGTTCTTAGTAGCAGCCACTCTTTTGTTGTGCGCCAAGACTCCTTATATAATGGCTGAATGTGGAAATGGAGGTGCTACCAGTGTTTCTGAGGCCACAGTTAAGCAATGACACTCAGTGTCCTAATCATTTCTTTAAGAAAGATTATCTTCATAGAACATAAGTGTTTTTTGGTTCCAGTAATAGGATTCAAAACGTAAGAGCTTTCGGTATAATTATAGCACGTATGCTCCAGTGTAAAATAATTTTGAATATTGTAATCATAAAACAAGGAAACCGTCGATTCCTTTTAGTTTTGCTGAGGTCACAATGACGCGCTTAAAGTAACTAATACTTATTAGAGGAATAAAATAAAACCGCTCACATTAACCACTTGTTTGTCATTCATAATAACAGTCATGAATATCTGCCTGGACTTACTCCTACGAGATCTGATGTGATTCACTACTTCAGAGCAATATTATCCTCTTACAGTAGCCCAAGACCTGCCCCAGGGAAGATGTATCCCGGAGGCAGAAAAATATGATAGTTCTGTCAAGGGTATTATGCTAACGCCCTAATTGATCAGCTACGCTGCTGATAATGAACAGTCAGGAGTGTTCGAGAAACGTAATTAAATGACATTAATGAGCGTTTTCGAATAATAATATGTTATCTTAAACGGCAACTTTCTCAAGAGACCAGAAATGTTTAGAACCATAAGTTTTATTGTAATTTTAAGAACTTTTTACTTTTTTTTTTGCCTTAGCTTCTTGAAAGAACGGTACTACAATAAGATGGAGCAAACACTTATTGAGTATTGCCTGCACATTCTTGGCGGATCATTTCACTATAGGACACACTGACTGTCTCCAACGTTATCAGACATATTTTTGCCTAATCTTTCCCTGTGGACGTTTGATAATTCTTATGATTTACAGTGCTGAGTTATCTTGGAGAAATTAATTTAGCCGCTCTCAGCAATATGGTAACTTAAATGTTTCTAAATACGTAGGGAGAAAGGGGCTTAACATTTTGCTGTGATAGCAGAAGAGCTGATGTTGAAAGGTATTACATTCGTAAATTCGTTTTTGAGATTTTGCACGTGGAAACTGAGGCAAATTCAATATACGTTTTAATTCTTTCGTTAAAGAATTCTTTCGGGAGGCTGGTAATAAGGGAAGAAGGATGCAACAGTTCTCTGCTGTAGGGTCTGAGTCATAATTGGTTTAGGGCTTAGGCTGATAATCCTCGAGTACTTTGCACAATTAAATAATAAAATCTTTCTTTTACAAAATTAAACGGAAGAAGCTGCTAGGAGGCATTCCCCCCAATGAGTGCTTTCCTAATTTAAGACACGACGTTTTCACGTCCAGTTAGCAAACTGGAAGATTCCTGGTCCAAAGTTTGGTGAAGACCTATTTGATTTTTTATATTTGAGCTCCGAAATATCTAACGATATCTGTAAAGGTACTGTAAAACAATTATCTTGTACTGGCTTTCAATCCGTATTTAGAGAAGAGGGCATTCCAAACTGAGCCATAATTTTTAGAACATTTGGAATTCTTTATCTCAACCTTATGTTTCCACTTATTAAAATGAATATGTTATTTGAATTTCAGGAAATGTGCCTTTCTTTCGCCGTACTTCTCCACTATCTGTTTTTAGTTTCCTGCTTCTGGGTAGTATCCTACAGTATTTATATACTCCAGAGACTTCGTACTAGTATGGAATACAACGGCAAAATTCGAGACTACTGTGCTTTTTGCTGGATTTTGCCCTCAATCTTACTTATTGTGTCTTTTATAGGAAATCCCAAGGGCTACGAAACGAAACAATAGTAAGTATTGCATTAATTTTTAATTTTTTAGAAACTTTGATCTATAATGAGGCACACAGCTGTATTTATACACAAATTGTGTTTATGTATATTTCGATTATGGAAAAATATAAAGATACAAAGTGTGAATGAAACAATGCTGTTCGTTTTTCCTTCGAGTAATAACTACTTTAGGACCCAAATACAACATTTAAATATATTAGTTAAATGAATTTCTTTTCAGTTGTTGGCTGAATGTACAGAAGGGAATTTTGTGGTCATTTGTATTTCCAGTCACCGGACTGATTTTGGCAAGTATAATTAAATAAGCTATTATTATTTCTAATATTTAAACGAATGAAAGATTATTATGATTTAAAGTTTATTACATTTATTATTAATCCTAATGTTTTTGATAGATTTAAATGCAAGACTGTGACACGGTTTATGTAAACCAAGAATGGGTAAAATTTGCTAAATTTTTTGCTTGGATGTATTTACATATAATTACAAAAATTAACTAATACACTAGTAAACATCTTTTGCTACAAAATAACTAGCTAGAAAATTCTTAGTGTGATTCGTGGTTTTGGTTCCTGCTCTGTTTATGCTGCGTAGCTCTCTTTCATTTATGTTTTAACATTTATGAAGTGTAACAGAATTTTTGATTTTCGAGATTCGTTTTGCTCCTGTAATGATTTTAGTATTCAAGCAGCAGGCAAGTGAAAGATTATTGATTGATGTTACTAAATAATTTTTCAGTTTATTTTGGATTTTATGGAAAGAGAATCGGCACTAAAACTGTTAGTTTTGTAAACATATTTCCAATAATCTGATTATTCTTTAAAAATATATTTTTCCTTACCAACATAACTCTATGAATCGTCGTCGTTAATGCGGGGAATCGTTACGTAGAAATCGTAGAAAAAATAATTTTTCGGGTAATGCTAATAAGTGGAAAGATGAGCAAAATTCTTCTTTTATTTGTAAAAAGGTAACCTTGAATTGCTTGAAATCTTTGAGCTCGTTTATTTACTACAGTGTGCAAACTTGATTGGAGCATAGCGATTTTTTTTCGCATAATTTTAAGTTGTGGCCAGCTGTACCAGCAGATTGCTCAAAGCAGTTTCATTTGCCTTAATGTTGTCTGGATATCTGCTTTCGACTACCTATAAGTAGTTTAGACAATAAAGTATTACAACATTATAATTATTCCACTATTTTAAGCTATTTCTGTGAGCTTATACTTTTCTGTGAGGAAATTACTTTCGAATACTTTTTAAATACGTTTTGCATTCTTTCATTTTAGTGCATAAAAATGGATATAATGCCTAGAGGAAGAATAAAGATTATTGCAGTTTACAGTCACAAATCAATTTTTATAAGAAATATTGATGTTAAAAAATCGAATTCTGAGATTACGAATCGAATTCTTATCAAATTCTGAGAAGACGCAATGACACTGGATTATGTTCTTAGGAAAGGAAGAGAAATATGAAAGGAAAAGAAAAATAACTTCAAAATCTGATCCATCCGTACTCCATAAAAGCGTTATTAATCCAATAAAACTAACAAAGTCGTAAAAAACAACCTTATATTTAGCGTAGGTATAAACTTACACATTAGCGTGTCACTATGTGACAAAGACACATTAGCGTGTCTTTGTCACATTAGCGTGTTTCTCTTCTAGTCTAAAACTAACAAAGACCTTAAAAGAAATCTAATATCTGTATTCATCCTTCAAATATACTGCGTAGACTTCTCACTGCTGGTTGGAAAACGAGAAAGCCAATTGAAAAACAGCTTTTGGACACGTCAAACGAAATACAAATTATTATTGTGCACCCAAAACGCAAACCTAAAAACAAAAACAGCCAAAGGTCATAACAAATCCTAAAATATCCTCAAAAACAAATGTTTTGGGGATTTTTTCACTGACGAGGGCACTGGATATCTGCTTTCTACTAACGAAATGATGGAATCATCGAAGTATATAGGAATTATAAAACACAGAATTGTACCATTCTTGAAAACCTTTGCATGGACATTTCCACTTGACTTGGCTCCATGCCATAATTCGCAATTTATCAGCATTTTAATGTTAAAAAAATAAAATTTATATGCTAGACTGGCCTGTAAATTCACCAGACTTAAAACCAGTCGTAAACATGTGGCCTGTTCTCAAGTAACATCTTAGTAAAATAGATTGTACGACAAAAAAGTATGATTAAGAACTATAAACGTGTGGTTCAGTGATTAAGGAGCAAAATTTATATGCATAAGACTAGCAAAGTCAATATCTAAGCACATTCTAGAGGCCCTTTTTGCTAAAGGAGAACATATTTTCTCTATTAATTTTTTTATCACTATATGTGAAGGTGTGTACATCAGTTACCGAAGAAATTGCTTTGTCAAATTTAATTCGCACACTATGGTATCTTGATAAACGAAAACAATGGGATTAAATAATGAGAAATCTGTGAAATAAAGTGGTTGTGGCTTAAGAATATCTGTTTTTGATTGTAGAAATACAAGTCGCTTTTGTAAAAACGCTCGTTGCAGAAATACGACATTGTACCAAATGCTCGCGAATGCTTAACTGAGTTTCCTCGAATTAAGACACAACAACACGCCGAACAAATACTAATTGAGAAGTCAAACAACAAAAATCAGCGTTATATTTTCAAATTTTCACAAGACTAGTTTCGATGGTTTTACCGCTGCTGCAAAAGCACAAATGAACAAAGTTTCTCTGAGTCTCTCGGAATGAGTTTTCTCGGATTACAGTTCTTCATATATACCTTTTATTAGAAATAAGTTAATACTCTTTATCAGTTAAATCTTGTTATTTCGAATTCTATGGACTTCACTTGAATTTTCAGTTAGCTTTATAAACAGAGGATTATAAATTTTTTAATGACATAGAAAATTTACATATTAGTAACCTGCTTCCCTAAGCGACGTTTTAAAGCATCTATTACTGCTTCTATGTCGAAAGTTATCAAAGCATCTACCACACGCGATACTCTATAGGGTACCATCATGTTTTAATGAAGTGTAAGTGGCAGCTTATTTTCATTGAAGGTTTGTTTTTTACATGCTACTCTTGCGGCAAATGAGAAAGGATGCTTTAAGTGTTCGTTTTCTTATTCTGCTTTAATTTCAGGTAAATACGATTGTCATGATCCTTGCACTGAAGACTTTCAATGAACAAATGTCCGTCACTCACAGAACAGAAATTTGCAAGACAAGGTACGTTTGTTTCTTTTTGAGAAAATATTTTTTTCGATTTTTATTAATTTTCTCAAGTTATATTTTTATAGTTTTTAGCTCAAAGGGACGGTAACCCATAAGGGCTGTTAGTCTCAAAACGGCATTTTGCGGCCTTTTACTATAAACGGCGAATCACTTTTTAAATTGTTGCCACCAAATGTTATCGCCCTGTATAAGATTGCCTTAAAGAAATTAAAGAATGAAGAATCTTCATGAATATATGTATGTTCCTCGCATTGTGAAAAAACGACGGTACCTAGAGCCATCACATTGTGAATAACATAATTGTTCACACGAACAGGTGCATCTGGAAGCCCGAATTTTTTAATTTCGAATTTGTTTTATTATCAATTTCATGATTTATAAAACTTTTCATTAGTAAACGTAATAATTTCAAAACCAGGAAACGCAACACTGTACGGAAAAAAAAATATTTTTATCTCCAGCGCGACACTGTGTATCGGAAATTTAAAAGATATGTTCAAATGTGAAAAGCGTTATCGATATATATATAAAAGGAACAGTCGGTTTGTCTGTGTGACTTTCGCTCGTACTTCGCGTAAGCTAATAGACCCAGGGCTACGAAATTTGGTACATAAGTGGATCTAGACAAGAGCCAGTGCATCTTGAAGCAATGTTTTCAAAATTTGAATGCGATTTTTTAATTTTATGTTTTTTGATAAAATCAGATCAAATCGATAATTCTCTTTCATTACATCAGCAACAATAGCATGCACCTATTGTTACTAATATATCACTGTTGCCATTGTTGCTGGCATCAATACTGTTGCCACGTAGAAGAATGAAAGCGATGATTCTGTGCAGTTTTTAAATTTAATGATTCCCTTGGATCCTGGACATTTGTCGAGAGAAAGCAACGGGAGGTTGGTTAATTTATTTATTAGGATAATTAATATTTGTATTAAGAGATATTGCTTATTTCAATGGAATTTTTTTATATGTAACACATTTTTATTAATTTTTTTTTCATAAAGTTGTTCTACAGAGTAATATTCTGTGCAGTTTTTAAATTTAATGTTTGGTGTTTTCTTTAGACATGTTTCCGGTATATTGAAAAGCCATACGAAGGCTGGCTGCGTAGCGGTTATTATTTAATTAATAAATGTAACAAACAAAACGTTAAAAAAACACCCATTTGGGCGTAATATAAAATCTGAAAGCTTTCAGATTTTTATTTGTTTTTTTTTTTATGTTAATTTTTTCATTTGATTTTTATTTCATTTCCTTTGAAAAAGAAAAGATTGAAATGAACAGATGACTTCTCAGTGAATCTTATTACTTGTATAATTTACACGTGAAGTCAAACATCGATTGTCCAATAACTTCTAATAGGTGATACGGAACAGCTAACAAGGAAGTTTCAAGTTCTTCAATCTTTGATATTATTATTCCTTATAAATACTTTAAACACTTAATTTTAACAGTGAGTAAAACTAATCAAATTTGCATACTAACCTTTCCGATTTGTTCTTAACAGCAAACTTTCTGTTGTCTTTATATAACTTACATACTTCGGGCGGCCGAACTGGTGTAGCGGCTAGCGTCTCTGGATGCCGTGCCAAAGGGCCCGGGTTCGAATCCCGGAAAAGGGTTGTATAGTGCCCGTGCGGCATGGAACTCTAAATATGCAGCGAGCCGAAAGTTCTCTCGAGAGGTTGTTGGTAGGGAAAGAGGGGCGGAAGACCCTGGGACCCGTCCCCCCGGGATGCTGTCCATCAAATTTGGGGGCGGAACTGTCACCTGTAGGTTGCTCAAGGTTGCCAACGACAGGCATAAACTTGCGTTCCTTGCCACGAGGAGTTTAGTGGGCTTGGGCTGACTATAATAAGTAAGCACTTGTCTTGTTGATAGCAACAACATTTTTCATTGCAACTTTTAAAATTTTCAAACGTTTTGTTGTGCTAAGTGTTCTAAAGCTATGGATAAGTTATGAGAAATGAGAATCAATATTACTTTTTGTATTATTATTTTATTTTTCAGCGAAATTCAACGTCGTTTGATTAGCAGATTTAACACGAGTTGATTTCTTGGGTGAAAATGTAATTGTTACAAACAAATTAATTGTCTAGATTAACATCAAACACCCTTTTACGGATAAGTACCATTTAAAATAATTATTCGTTCCTCAAATGGTCTATGGATGTAGATGCGAATTAATTGCGCTTCATAAAATAATACTCAAAAAGGAAAAAGGCACGTGAGAATAAAAACTCAGAATTTTTTCGTGTTCAAAATTTAGATCAATATAATTCAAATTACGAAACTGATCTAGATGTCAATAGGCGTAAGTTGTAAGAGAAGCGAAAATTATTGATTTCTGTACTAGTTTTATTGTACTAAGGATATCGTTTAATTCATAAATATATTACCAAAGACTAAACTGATGGCGCGCAATTTGTTTCTTGGTAAAAGTGCTTCTACTGACACTGGAAATGTTCTGTTAAAAATATTAATATTTCTACTAAAATATCCGCATATCTCTAAACCAAAAGCGATGCAACAGATGGAAACGGAGTCAGTAAGTGTATAAGGAACATACAGCTGAATAATCTGGCTTGTTGCCATTTCCAATCAAAATACAGCTGTCATTTTAAGCGTAATATTTATGAACTGAAACTGTTTCATACATTTGAATTTGGGATAAAATAATTTCACCAATAATATATATGTATATATATATATGTGTGTGTGTGCGTGTGGATCTGTTAAATTACATGTGTTATGCTTCAAATGTAAATTAATGCAGTTGAATATTAGTGTCCATAGAATGGATTCGAAAGACTGAAATTATATTACTGTTTCATTCAGGCTATATTACACTCCTTTTTACAAGAAATACAATATCATTTATGTGTATTTATTACGTTTAATTTATCATATTTTTTATTTGTGCTTACATAACTATTTAGTAAGCGAAATTTAAAACTTATTTGAGTTTGAGACCACCGCATTAGACGTAATATTCGGGTAACTATCTCGGTTGACGTCATACCTTTGGCAGCCTACCTTGTTCTCCTGGCTCCTGCACTGCACTATTTTAATACCCACTTATCTTACGATTAAAAGAAATAAAAGTAATATTTTAATTAATTTTATTTTTAGTATGCTTTTAATTATCTACCTTTATAATTGAGTGATTTGCACGTCATTTTAAACTCCCATGCAAGATGACCCCCTAATCTTCAGAAGAAAACAAAATTGCTAAAAACTCTCACCGAGACGAGATTTTCAGTTACAAAACTTTATGTAATGATAATGAATATCTGTATTTCGCACAGTTGTCATTATTTCATTTGCAGCCCTTACCCTGATTTAATGATATTTTAATACTTATAAATAACATTGTTTATGATTAAACTTACTAGTAAGTATGTGTATTATATCAGTGTATATAATCAGTGATTCTCAATCTTTTCCCTCAAAGTACCCATTTTACCAGTGCTAGATGATCATTCTCCGTACTCCTTTCTAAAATTCGAAAAATGCACACATATTTATTTTAATTTCGTTTATCTTTTAAAGTGTTCCTTAAGTTAGAAAATCTGATGTGGATACAACAAAACTTCCTTGTTGGGCCCACTAAATTATACGCATTTTTTGCAGCACTTCACTTACTCTTATTTCCTCGAATTATTCTAAATTAATCGATCCCTGAAGGCAAGTTGAAAATGACATCAAAAATAGCAAGTTTTGACATTAAATATCCCGGTCAATTTTCGTCGTATAGAAGCCAAACTTCTTATAATTTTTTTTTCTTTTATAAGTATATAACTTTTCAGATATAAGTATAAAAACCTGGAGATCGTATTAAAAGTTAGATTTCGTTATTTATCAAAAACAGTTTTTTTTAATTTGACATTGCCAAAATATGAATATTTTCGCCATTTAAAACAGTTCTGTAACTGGAAGTATATGACTATCGATCAACGAGTGCGAAATGCGAAATTAAAGCCCGGGTAAGGACTTCAAAACCGTGTAAGGAAATGTTTCATATATATATATAAGGAGAAAGGGAGGAGCACAACTAGATGTTATAGCAATTCCATATACAAAATTTCAACGTTCTACAGCTAATCTGTTTTTGAGTTACGCGAGAAACATACATACATATATATATATATATATAAGTACGTAGGTATGCAGAGACATCATGAAAAAATTCTTTTTGAATCCATTTTAAATCCATTTTACTATCCGTTTTGGAGAAAACATTCCTTTATTCTACCCTTACGTACAGACGTCATGCAAAATAAAATCGTCCTAATGTATTCGGGAAAATCAAAATGGATATTTTCGTTGAAATGTGATACTCGATTTCTTTTTGCGATTACAATATACTTCGTTTGCTTTGTCCATATCCCATATATAAAATCTAATTAATTGAATTAATAACAATAATATCTCCAAATTACTTAGATTGCGTACAATCATAAGGGCTTGCGTAGTATGTTTATTCCGATTAAATATTAAAGTTTTGAAAAAGCAAGGATTTCGTAGTCAGTACTTATTAACTGTATATCTGTGATTCGAGACCTATTAAGAAAAAAAAAAATCTTTTATATTAACTTCCAAGTTGAAAATGATTTGTTGTTAGAAGATGCTATACAACGTCAGCCAAATTAAATCAGCAGCAAAATGCTAGAAGAAAAGTGCTTGGATAATACTTATCAGAGCTTAAAAAACTGCAAAACAATATTGCCTGCATAAATAATATGTCAAATAGTATCAAAACCTGTGTCTTTTATTAAAAATAGCTCTTTTTAGTTCGAAAATTTTGTCTGTTCAGCTATTAGGTGGTGAATATTACATGAGATTAAGGCGTACTAATGCAATATCTTTCTCGGATAATAAATGAGCAAAAAACTGCGCAGTAAAATGTAATTAATTTAGGGGCAAATAGCTTTCTTACTCGTTGACACATCCTTGAGCTGGATTTAGCTTATTGATTTCTAGACGCC